GTGAGCAGCAGCTCATTTGCATTTAAAGAGACAGGCCCGAAAAACAGTGTGTTTCTGCTTTCACTCAAAATAGGCATTTTCAAAATGATATAATAAATGATCTGTGGAGTATTTTAAGCTGAAATTTCACAGACACATTCTGGGGACACCAGAGACTTATATTACATATTGTAAAAAGGGGCATAATATGTCTCCTTTAAATACGGGGACGATTCCGTATTATACAGAATGGTTGGCAACCCTATTTAAAATGCAAAAGAGGATTGTCTCAGGTACCCCCTAGTGTTCTGGGCCCTGGACTGCAGCCCATGTTGCCCATTAGGATAACGCGGCCCTGATTGAAGTATACAGGCACATATGCTTGAAGTCTGAAATGTGCATAAATGTACATAAATATTTCAATAATTAATCAACACATTCGCATATTCACAGTTGTCAACATGTTCATTGACATGTCGGTTAATGATCATGTGACCATCTTTTTTAGTATGGGTTACATTTTGAATGATAAAGGCCTTTTCAGATCCATGTTTCCTGTGCATTAATTAAATATGTGTGTGTGCGTGTGCGTGTGCGTGTGCATGTGCTACAGCAGCACACTGGTCAAGAGGTGAAGTGGGTGGATGGTGGGAGGCCGCTGCTCAAAGTCTCCACACAGCTGGTGTCCACTGTATACACACAGGTATGAAGTGTCCACCTGCACATCTCAGATCAGAATTTTTACATAGTAATCAGATACAAAATGTGATATGGAGCATTAATGCTTATTATTTAACTGTTCTTTCTCATCAGGATCAACATCTGCATAACTTCTTTCATCACTGCCAGAGTATTGAATCCACAGGCCAGTCAGGAGGAGAACTGATCAAATACCTGAAGGTACTTGCTGTTTGTCCTTCCTGAGGATGTTTGAGGCCTGGAGGTGTTTGTTCAGTTCAGTGTGCATTAGCAGGCGTTTCTCACCCATCTCATCCTGAGATCACAGATCTGTCTCTCTCATCCACTATAGAGTCTGCATGCCATGGAGGCTCATGTGATGGTGAAGTTCCTCCCCACCATACTGAACCAGCTGTTTCGTGTGCTCACCGTCTCCGGTCAGGATGATGTTGCTGTGAACGTCACCAGGTCTGTTCTGAGCAGCTTTCACCTGCTGTAGTGTGTCTGTAAAGGCCCGTTCACACCAAGCATGATAACTATAAAGATAACGATAAAGATATAGTTCTAAAAATCGTTCTCAATATTAAAGAATAGCAGAGTCCACACCACAGCTATAACGATAAAGGCACAGAGAAACGATATCGTTGGAATCATTTTCAGAACGATTTTTTCCAACTGATGAACGATACAAACGTTGACAGCCAATCAGAATCAATCCTGCTATAACGAGCTCAAGAATTTAAAGCGGCAGACGCATGTGCACTTATAATAAACAGACGATATCGTTCGCTGGTGTGGATGCTAATATCGTTATCTTTATAGTTATCGTTCTTGGTGTGAACGGGGCTTTACAGTGTTATTTTAGTATGGTTAATATACTATAATATTTTTTATTAATACTTTGTATTAATTTTTCTTTGAATATTTTCAATTTTCATCGTTTTATTTTTAGTAATTGTATGTGCTTTCCTGTTTGTTTTTTGTATAATATGTTTATAATACGTATAATATGTTTTTTAATATAAATTTAGGTTTAATTTATTTTTATTTCAGTTTTAGTTTTATTGTTTTTAATTTATTTACAGTTAGTAATTTTATTGTTACACCTTAAACATATTTTGTTTGTTTGCCAATACAACATCTCTAATTTTCATTTAGTTTAAGTTTTTCCATCTAATATTTTTATTTTGTCTTACATTTTGTCTCTTCTCTCGTCAGGGTGATGATTCATGTCGTGGCTCAGTGTCATGAGGAGGGTCTGGAGCATCACCTGCGTTCTTATGTAAAGGTGAGCTGCATCATTATACGTGATGTAAAACAAGTCATTTTGATTATAACCCTGTGTAATCAACATTCTTGTTTTCTTGTGTTTTTGAGTAGTACGTTTTGAAGGCTGAGACTAACTTAACCAATGGTAAAACTGTCCATGAGGACCTGGCAAAAGCCATGACCACCATCCTGAAACCCTCGACGGACTTCCTCACCAGCAACAAACTGCTGAAGGTACAACCAGCGAATCAGATTCAACATCCCTCACAATAAAGAAGTAGACTTCAAGTTTGTTTTATGAACTAAACTTAAGTTCAAGTATATTTTTTAGGTTTACATTGTGTAGTAAGTATACTCAAATCAGTGTACTAGTAGTATACTTGTAAGTGTACTATTTCAAAACTTTCTAGGTATAAATTGGCCCACTTTTTAGTTCAGAAAAGTATACTTTTAAGTGTACTTAAAGTGTAGCTGTGGTAACTTTACATCTGTTTTTCTTCCTATTGCAACTATACTGTGAACTATACTACAAGTGGTACTCTTTGTTTAATAGCTAAGTACTTCTAGCTGTCTTTTGAGTTTATGAAAGTACACTGTATAGTACAGTTGAATAGGTTTTATATTGAAAATATATCTGCTTTTGCAAAAAAAAAAAAACTTTTAATAGTATAAAAGACATACTTTTAATGAATTTTAATTTTGTACGTTACCTGTATTTTTTAGTTATTATTACTTAATCAAAACAACCCAACTGCAGTTTGATTGATATTACTTTGGAATGCACAATTTAAAATTCTTTATGAAAATTCATAAAAACTGTTTTTGCAAATGAACTCTTGGTATATTCTCTTTCTCCTCTAGTACTCCTGGTATTTCTTTGAGGTTTTAGTCAAGTCTATGGCTCAGTACCTGATTGAGACGGGCAAGGCCAAGGTGAGGATGGGCAACGTCATCGCATGTTCTTTTATGGGCAAACACCACGTGTGTTCTCACACTAAAATCTAGTTTATTTCTGAACTACTTCATATGGTCATGTCTATAATCACAACATACAAAAACCGGATGTTATTTTCATGGCAGTTGTAAGATAAACCCGTTTATATTGAAAATATATCTGCTTTTGCAAAAAAAAAAAAACTTTTAATAGTATAAAAGACATACTTTTAATGAATTTTAATTTTGTACGTTACCTGTATTTTTTAGTTATTATTACTTAATCAAAACAACCCAACTGCAGTTTGATTGATATTACTTTGGAATGCACAATTTAAAATTCTTTATGAAAATTCATAAAAACTGTTTTTGCAAATGAACTCTTGGTATATTCTCTTTCTCCTCTAGTACTCCTGGTATTTCTTTGAGGTTTTAGTCAAGTCTATGGCTCAGTACCTGATTGAGACGGGCAAGGCCAAGGTGAGGATGGGCAACGTCATCGCATGTTCTTTTATGGGCAAACACCACTTGTGTTCTCACACTAAAATCTAGTTTATTTCTGAACTTCTTCATATGGTCATGTCTATAATCACAACAAACAAAAACCGGATGTTATTTTCATGGCAGTTGTAAGATAAACCCGTGATTTAACCCCTGCCGTGTCCTTTAGGTGTCTAGGAACCAGCGTTTCTCAGCTTCATTCTATCACTCCGTGGAGACCTTAGTGACAATGCTGATGCCTCATATAACACAGAAATACAAAGACAACCTGGACGCGACACGAAACGCCAATCACAGCCTTGCTGTCTTCATCAAGGTGAGCCGAGCTGCTGGTCTCCTTTCATGTTGCTGGAAGACATCAAGCATCAAATCTTCCCTATTGAAAAATAAAATACTAAAATGTATTTAAAATACATTTATTTTGTACTAAGTATACTACAAACACATTTAGATATCTATGTGCTTAATAAAAATACCCTGCAATTGTTCTTTTAGTATACTAAACTGGTATACTTAAAGTCTGCTAAATTGGAACAACTAGTTTTGTACTTAATGCACTTTATTTGTGCGGAAGCAGTGCTGAAGTCCAACTAAAGATGAACTGAAGTATATTTGATTGTGCTAAAGTGGAACTATTGCAAGTATACTTCAGGTACACTTTAAATATGTTGCATTTAAAGACTGATATTATACAGAGATCGTGCAATCCTTATTCATATTGATATTAAAGCACATTTTAGACTTAATATTAAGAAATATGCATTGTGCAATAAAGAATAAAAACATAACGTTTAATTATAATTAAAGTGATATGTCTATAAATATGTAAATTGATTTGAAGTATACTTAGTATAAAATAAATGTATTTTAAATAAATTATGGCATAGGTTTTTTTTTGTTTGTTTGTTTTTTTAGTTAGAAATCAAGTACAATATTCCTTTTGGTTAGATTTTATTTGTACAGTAGTTCAACAAAACTATTTGTGATATATTCCAGCAAAACGTACTTTATCAATAGCAGCTTACTTCTGAATTTGGTTCACATCAACCACAAACCAAATTACACTTCTCACAAAAGCACTGAAGTGTGTTTATGTGAAGCGCTCAACAGTCCAGATTTCACAACCTTATGATAAAATGAACGTGGATCTGCAATAACCCAGTAACCCTAAGAGACTGCTTACAATCTCAGAGTAACAAGTTGTACATTTAAGGCAGTGTTATTTTTCCATTTTAATTTTTCATAATTTTATGTTCTTTTGTCATTTGTATTAATTTATGTTGTTATATATTACTATTTAGCTTCATTTTTTCTTTAGTTTTGGTTTTAGTCATAAGTAACAACACTGGTTTAAAGGCAAAAAAGACACATCAGGTGTCTTGAATCAGTCAGTAAACTCAACCATTGTTTGTTTTCACCAGCGCTGTTTTACCTTCATGGACAGAGGGTTTGTCTTCAAGCAGATCAACAACTACATCAACTGCTTCATGCCCGGAGACGCAAAAGTAAAGTGCTTCTGCTTTTATATCTCCATTTACACCCATATAGGATTTTTCTTTTTTTCAAATATATATATTCCATCTTCTATAATTTGCCATGATGCAGTCTGATGCCTGTCTCTCTGTTTCTTCCTCACTCAGACGCTGTATGAGTTTAAGTTTGAGTTTCTGAAGGTGGTCTGTAATCATGAGCACTACGTTCCTCTCAATCTGCCCATGCCGTTCGGGAAGGGCCGAATCCAGCGCTTTCAAGGTAATCAGTCATTAAAGAGAAGAGCAGAAACACACAATAGTCAAAGACCTTGTTGAATATTGATTGAATGGGACTGAATCGAAGGCTGATATGAGTTTTTAACATAATTAGTATATTTTATTATGGCCTTCAAAATAGCTGTCTTCCTATAATCCAGTGGTTCTCCACCAGGAGCTTTCAGCAAACATCTAAGGGGGCCTCAAGATGACCTAAATGATTTAAAATAAGACAGAAGGAGCATTAAAATAAGCAAAAACAACTACAAATCAAGATTTCTTATTTACATTTTTTTCCAAGATCTTGAAAACTCTAAATATGTGATATATAATATTAAATTAGACTAGACAGTCTATCACATATTGTCTGATTTCTGGACTTGAAAATGTAATTATTAGTTATTTTAAAATCTTATATTTTATTTGGGACCTTTGAGTCAAACAGGTTGAGAACCACTGCTCTTTTATAATATATTTATAATAATTAATAAAGTTTCCAAAAAGTAGTCTATACTTCAACTGCATATTCCAAGACTGAAATGTAGTCACATTCAGTTAAATGCGTCATAGTCATGCAAGTGTGAAAAACAATTTAATTTGTTTATTTTTTGTGCACATGATCTAAATCAAGGGTCTTCAACTAAAATTGCTTGAGGTCCAGTAATGAACCCTCCTCACCAGCCGAGGTCCAATTATATAGCCTACCTAAAAACATGAATTGATGGCTTTTGCCAGACCATGGTATCTGCACGATATTTAAGCTTCAATTTAAGACTTTTAATGACCTTTTTAAGACCTGCACAAATTAAAAATGACTGTAAAAAAACATGATTTAGAGATACAGGTTTTCTCAAAAACAAAAAGTTTTATGAAATGATAAACTTGAAAATTGAGTCAAAAGTATTAATAATTATATTAATCTAAACAATTATTATCAATCATTATATTAATTAAATAACATGTAAATATATTGTACTGTCTTAATTGCTTACCTTTTTATAATACATTATCTTCTTGTCGATCCACCAGTTCACATTTACAACTCTGCGTGTTTGCTGCGTAAAAACATGGGCTGATTTTCGCAGTGGTCTGAACTGTAGCGGGCTGATTGTAAATGCACAGTTATTCTCTGCCAGCAGGTGGCGCTTTAGGAACAGCAGAAATAAAGCGGTTTCTCCGGAAACGGCAGTACACAAAGCAGCGCAGCAGCACAATTCTTGTCTTTCTGTCCCCAAATTTAAGACCTCCTGAAATCATAATTAAAACGTTCTTGTACCATTTAAGACTTCTTAAGTACACGTCAACGTTCCTAATTGTTTTTTACATCTGTCTGTGCGCCACTCTCTTCTCTCTTCACGGCACTCAAGCCTGCACCCAAACTGCTCTATTGATATAAATTTGATTCTATAAGAAATTAGCGTTTGGCATTTATTTATTTCATTATGTCAAAAGCCTTCACGGATTTGGACCGGAGTCCACCTGCTGGCGACCCCTGCTCTAAATGATGACAGAAGACTATTCCAATATAATTCCTGTTTCTATAGTTATAATGCCTGTTGTTTCCATTCCTATTGTTCAGGAATGATGTTTTGTATTTTCATTTCTGAGCTCACATCCTTGTCTCTGTGTCTCTGTCAGATCTTCAGCTGGACTACTCTTTAACGGATGATTTCTGTAAGCATCACTTCCTGGTGGGGCTGTTGCTAAGGGAGGTGGGCGGAGCTGTGCAGGAGTGCAGAGACATCCGTCAGATCGCTGTACAGGTGCTGAAGAACCTGATGATCAAACACGCCTTTGACGATCGTTACTCCTCCAAGGTGAATGAGCACCGTAGTGTGTCACGAGCACGTGTGCTAAGAACACGGCTTTGAATATATTAACTATAAAGCGTGTGTTTTGTATGTTTTTCAGGGTCAGCAGGCTCGCTTGGCTACGCTTTACCTGCCTCTTTTCAGTCTGCTGCTGGAAAACGTCCACAGGCTCAACATCAAATATGTGCCGCCTGTCACCAACCAGACTAACATTGTAAGACTGACACCTAGTGTTTGCTTCAGGCTGTGCAGCCATACAGATGCAGGTTTAAAGGGATAGTTTACCGAAAATGACAATTCAGTCATAATTGACTTACCCTTATGTCATTCCAAACCTAGTGTAGTTTTTTCTATAGAACGCCAAAGATATTTTTTTGAAAATGTCAGTATTTTTGTCCATACAATGAAAGTCAGTAAGGTTCAATGTTGCTTAGGACACCTTTGTCTTTCATTTTATGAAAACAGTGACATTCTTCAAAATTTCTCCTTGTGTGTTTCTTCTTGTGTGTGTTACAGTGTCAGAGCATTTCATTTATTGGATGACATTTCTATTTTTATTAGAACTGAGAATTTGCCCTGATTTGACATTTGATTAAATTCTGATTTAAAGGGTCTCGATTCGTTTAGATTTTGATTTGATTCTCTGTTATTAAGAATATTCCACTGAAATCATTGATAATAACTGATATTAATAAGAAATATTTCTTGAGGAGCAAGTCAGCATGATTTCTGAAGGATCGTGTGACACTGAAGACTGGAGTAATGATGCTAAAAATTCAGCTTCACAGGAATCACAGGAATAAATGACATTTTAAAATATATTAAAATAGAAAACTGTTATTTTAGATATTAATAACATTTTTAAATATAGACTTATACTTTTTACAGTGTATTTGATCAAATAAATGCAGCCTCGGTGAGCATAAGAGACTTTTTTCAAAAACAATTTTACTGTCCCCAAACTTCACACATCCATTGAATAAATCTTGAGATGTATCAATATTATATGCATCAATAATTAATATCAGTATCAGATTGCTTGAATTATTTTGATCAGAAAACAATGTAGTTGCAAGTGTAGTTCTCAAAAGTAAAAAAGACATGAACATATACTAACATGCTAACAAAATGTGTAGTAAAATACAAATTGCAGTACAACGAGTCACCAAAATATAGTGGGTTAACAGGTTGCTCTTTAAACCAACTTCTGTTTGTATTGTTTCAGAATGGCCGTGATGATCATGTCATGATGACACCTACAAAAAATATGGCCAGTCCAGTGGACAGCAGCCTGCATAAAGAGGTCTTTGGAGTGATTTCAGGAACAGGTGAGACACAGCGTCCTAACCAGCCACTATCTGACAGTTTTACAGAAACAAGCTCTTCGTTTGTCCCCATTGAAATGCCTTTTGACTATTATTTCCTATGTCAGGCCTTAAAGAGTTAAAATAATTCTGTTCAGATTATTGTTCTAAGAGAAATATCGTTTGAGAGTGATTGTGTCCAGTGTATTGATGTGTTTTGTGTTTGTCAGTCTCTCCTCACACTCCGACCGTGAGCTCTGTACGGCACACTGACTCACGCAGCTCTCTTATTGGCACGGACTCTGCAAACGGCCTATCAGAGCGCAGCATTGACAAGCCACACCCCCTAGACAAGGTACTGCTCGCATGACCTGATTGTCATTTTTGTGTACATTATTTATGATGGACTGTTATCATGTTTTATGTTAGCCGCAGTGTGTGTGCGTGTGTAGGGTTGTATGTTTATCCCAGTAGTGTGTGTGTGGGTGTGCTAACCTGTGGTTGTGTGTCTCCTGCTGTCGCTGCGTTCAGCGGGAACGTTTCACTCGCCGTCACTCTGCCAGCGTGCTGCGTTTCTTTACTGTCTCAGAGGAGTCGCCGCTCTCTGCACGTCTCAAATGCCAGACCATGGACTTCTCTCTGCTGTCTGCACCGTCTGAGCAACACACACACCCTACACAAGTATTACATCAGCGCTGACCTCTGACCCCCGCCCTGCAGCCCTGCTATTACCACTCACCTCTGACCTCTTACCCTACACGGTCCCAGTCTGGTGTTCCTGTGTGTGCATGTGGCTTTACTGATCCTCTGTTCCCTTAGCTAGAAGATAATGATTGACTGTCTTAAAGGGGTCATATTGCATTTTGTTTTCCCTGAGGGTCACTTGTACAAGGGATAGTTCACCCCAAAATCATAATTTACTCACCCTCGAGTAGTTCCAAGCTTGTATGAGTTTCATTCTTCTGTTGAACATAAAAGAAGATATTTTGAAGGATGTTTTTAATCAAGCAGTTGTCGGTAGCCATTGACTTCCATAGTATGAAAGTCAATGGCCACCGCCAACTGTTTGTTTACCAACATTCTTCAAAATATCTTCTTTTGTGTTCAACAGAGGGCAGGCTGTTTTTTTGCAGCTGTACCTTTAAGACTTTGATATGTAAATTATCTTTCATTTTTTGTGAATGTATTAAAAATTATTTTGATTTTTGAAAATTATTTTAACATTAGTTTTACATCCCTGTTTTATAACATTATTATTTTTCACTCACACCTAGCTTTAAAACTCCTGCTCAAATGGACATAGCTGCCCTCAGAATACTAAGACAGTCTGCTGCATTGTTTTCTTTTTGTTTTGTTTTTTTCATACATGCACTTCTGGACAGGAACAATAACACTTGTAATGAATTATGGGTTTATTACAGAAAGAAAACCTGATTCATCAGTGATCAGTTTATATTCAAATTCAGATCATTCAGCTTCAGTTCTGTGAGTTTATTATGTCATTGAAAATTAATGTAGTTTGTGAAATTAGTTCTATGTTTTACAGCGTTATGACATCATTTCAAGGAAATGTATGTTATTTGTTATATTCCATATGTGTTTGATTATTAAATCAGGTTTATAACAGGTGTTAACAGTGATTAAGGACGGGGTTGGGTGGAGTTGCTATAAACCAATTAAGCTCATTTGCTTAGAGAGAATAACGACCCTGTCCACATCCTGTCAATCACTGTGTCACACCCCCCACCACACAACACACTACACCACATCCACCATTTGGGGCGCTATAGGGCCCCCTGCACCTGCCCACCACAGCCCTGCAGGGGGCCCCAGAGTCATTCAGAACCTCAGCGACTCAAGATCAAAGATTGTTTCTTCAGTAGAACACAAATGGAGATTTTTTTTAACTCAAACCGTTGCAACAAAACGGCAATGTCCGAACTGTCCTGAGCGTGTCCTGAGCACGTTCTCAACAGCCGGCGCGTAAAAGCACGAAGAAGAAGAAGACGCGTCACGCGCCGGCTGTCGAGGACGCGGTCAGGACAGTTCGGACATTGCAGTGAATCAGAGGTAAAAAAACGATATAAATACTGTTCAGTTTCTTGCACACACGGATCGTTTTGTGTCTTTACACATCAATGTATCGTCACGAGCCGCAGGGTTTAATTTGGTTTTGTTTGTGTATGTTTTTTTTAACTCTCAAAGCCGTGATTCACATTGTTTCTTCAGTAGAACACAAACGAAGATTTTTAACTCAAACCGTTGCAGTCTGTCAGTCATTTTAGTGTCAGGGTTTAATTTGGTTTTGTTTGTGTATGTTTTTTTTAACTCTCAAAGCCGTGATTCACATTCACTTCCATTATAAGACTGACAGACTGCAACGGTTTGAGTTAAAAAACTCTTCGTTTGTGTTCTACTGAAGAAACAAAGTCACCTACATCTTGGATGCCCTGGGGGTAAGCAGATAAACATCACATTTTCATTTTTGGGGGAACTATCCCTTTAAAAAGACTAAAGCTGAGAAATGTTAAATCATTCACAATTTTTGATTCTACTCACAGTCTTAGTGTTAAAGAAATAAATGGATATATAATTGCATGTGGAAAAACTTACATTTCCATAGAAAAATTTAGAGTTCCATATATACAGAATGTACTTTTTTCCCCTGCATTTTAATTGCAGTCACACCAGAACACATTCTGTTATCCTGTCGTTATCTAAGTCAGCCAGGTGCATTAGTTGCACATTATTTAGATATGGATGTTGAATAAAATAGCTTTACGGTGACTAAATATTTAGATTATTTTTTCATAAATGGTCTTTTGGACTGGAGTTTTGCAAGTTTGACTCTGTTTAAGTAATATATCTAACTCTGTGTCATGATATGGCCTTTTTAAGATATCTTCCAGTGGAGAGCAGACATTTCTGTCAGCACGTCTGTATTTTGTAGACGTAACAGGGCAGATCTTGTGCCTAAATCCACAGCTGATGCTTCCAGTCACAGGAGAGTCAGTAAATCTGTTGACTGCAGGAATGCTGTGGCGCACTGAATGATCTCTCTTTGATATTGTTTCCTTTTGTTGCATTTCAATTAGTACAAAAACAGTCCTTCAGTCTCCATCTGTGTAGCCACATAATAAAGTTAAGTGAATAATCAGATGCAGTATTTTGTGGGTTTCATAGTTTCCACACCCTGCTGTCTCAGTGAGGATCTGCTGGCAGGGGAACATGGGAAATATTCTGACCAGTGCTGTGCTATGGTAGATACATTAGCATGTTAGTGTAGGCCAGTGTGTGTGTGTGTGTGTGTGTGAGCTGCGCTTCTCCCTGTCTCGTCTGTGACATCCTTTAGGGAAAGAGCTGTGAATGGCCGTTTTGAGTGTGTGCAGTGCATTACTGCTACTATATCATTGTCCTTTTTTGTTTGTACAAACATGGCATTTATCAAAGTGTGCATGTGATTTGAGGTGGATGTGTGTGTTATTAAATGTGCATGTGTGAGTGAGTGCTTATAATTGCCTGAGTGTGTATTTACAGTTGCCCCAAAAAGTATTTGGACACTTAAGCAACACTTCAGTAGATCAAACCAAATATAATTTAATTTAAAGTGATAGCGCAAAAAAAGCTAAAAATAAAAATATTTTTAAAAATCGGTTAATTAAAATATAACTGAAATAAAATATTATATATTACATGAAAATTAAACTTGAAAAACTTGAAAATGAAATCATTTAATGAAAATAAAATGAAATTTAAAAAAATTCAAGTGGAAGTGCTACAGTTACTATAACTGAAAAAAAGTAAACCTAAATACAAAAAAAACTAAAACATTTAAAAATCACATAACAAACTTACTAAAGTGAAAATTAAAACTGAAAATGTAAAACTAAAAGCTAATTCAAAATATTAGAAAATATAAATAGTACAAAAATAATACCGGATAACACTGGTATTGTTATATTATTTTAATATATTGCAAAGATCTCCAGACAAGTGTGACTTAAGTTTCCAGAAGTGTCAATGGTTTTGTGGTCTGTGAATGTCTGATCTTGTTTTCTCTGTCTCAGTGTCATGTCACTGGGGTTCTGGGCAGCTCTTTGCTCCGCTGTGATAAACTGGACCAATCTGAAGTGAAGAACATATTAATGTGCTTTCTGCACGTGTTAAAGAGCATGTCTGAAGGTACACACACACAACTGAGATTATATTAGCCTGCTTCATTGTAGTTGTCTGTTGTTTGACCGATGCATTTTCTGCGTGTTAGATGCTCTGTTCAACTACTGGAATAAAGCTTCACCCACAGACCTGATGAACTTTTTCAGTCTGCTAGAGTAAGTGCTGCACTTCACACCTGCACCTCCACAACACACACACACACACACTCCTGGCTCATCATTCATTTCTCATCTGATTTCAGGGTGTGTCTTCATCAGTTCAGATACATGGGAAAGAGACACATTGCAAGGTAATGTCTTTATTTCTTTGTTTTTTTTACGAACACATTTATTAATTTTGCACATATTTATAATAGTAGAATATAAATATGTCATGAATAATATATAGAAATATAGGTAGCACTTTACAATGAGGTCCTAAAACGACTACATTTAAATGAGCAATATATCTGCTTCAGTGTTTATTAATCTTTGCATTAATGTTGGTTAATAAAAATACAACTGTTCGTTTTAGCTCAGGTCCATTAAATAATATTAACAGATACTTTTGATGTTAATCATGTTTTTGTGAATGTTGAAATTAACTAAGATTAATAAATGCTCTAGGAGTGTTCAAGTTCATGTCAAATTGTAGTTAAATAATGTTAACAAATTAAACCCTATTGTATAGTACCCCAATGTATAATTTTATAAAAATAAATAATATATAAATAATGTTTCATAATAGTATTTTTTGACTAAGTAACCAGAAATGTGTTCAGAAAACTGGTGAGTTAAGCACCACTAAATATATGTTTCTGCTATTGGCCAACATGTTTTATTGATACCAACAGCAGTTAATAACAAACTCATATCAGACAACCACTAATAATTATGACAGAAGATTTATTTTTGTCAGTGAGTGTTTAATGAGCTCATAATAGAAGCTTCTGAAGTTCCTGTTACATTTGACTCTGTCATCAGGACTCTGGAGGAGTCAGGGCCGGTGGTTCACGAGCGCCGCTCTCAGACTCTTCCTGTGTCCCGCAGCAGGACAGGAGCTCTACATATGAGACTGCAGCAGCTCAACAGCCTGGACAACTCCTACACCTACAACCACAGTGAGACAACACACAAATCCAGCTATTACATCTGCAGCTCTCTTTAGTCTTGGAAAAAAAGACAAGAAATGAAAGCTTCCTTCTGTTTTAATATTTAATGTTGAAAGAAATGGACTTAATTTATGAGATCAAATGAAATAACGTTTTTTTTAGAGAAAATTTATGAAAATTAGCCAAAAATGTGTTCAGCCTCAGGCCATCCAAGATGTAGATGAGTTTGTTGCTTCATCAGAACAGATTTGGAGTCCAAACAGCTGATAACAACATCACAATAATCCACACCACTCCAGTTCATCAATTAACATCTTGTGAAGTGAAAAGTGTTGTAATAAAGCTTTGTAATAAACAAATCCATCATTAGGACATATTTCTGGCTAAAATATGAGTCCATAATAACACTTCCTCTAGTGAAAAACTTAATCCCCCGTTGTTTTATCACATTACAATCCACTGTCATATTTGTTTAGAGCTGTTTTCACTCTAGACAGTGCTTGATCTGAGCATATTTATCTAGATGAGACGAGACGACTTTTCCACTGGAGAAAGCAATATTATGGATAAAGTATTTTAGCCGGAAGCAATGGTTTGAACTTACTTATACATATTAATGATGGATTTGTTTATTACAAACACACAACTTTTCACTTCACAAGATGTTAACTGATGGACTGGAGTGGTGTGGATTACTTGTGGATTATTGTGGTGTTTTTATCAGCTGGACTCTCAATCTGACGGCACCCATTCACTGCAGAGCATCCATTGGATGAGCAAGTGATGTAATGCTACATTTACATTTTACATTTATTCATTTAGCAGACACTTTTATCCAAAGTGACTTACAATTGGGGAATATATCAAGCGATTCATCTTAAAGAGGCAAATAGACAGGAAATGCTCGTAATACCAAGTTTCAAGCATTGTTCAAATAAGTACAAGCTACACAGGGAAAGATTAAAGAAAAGAGAAAACAAAGTTTTTTTTTTGTAGGATGAAGTCAAATAGTGACGAAAAAGATGAGTTTTCAGCTGTCGCTTGAAAATTGTCAGGGAATCATTCCGGATGGGGGTTGGAAGATCATTCCACCAGCCAGGAATGGTGAACGAGAATGTTCTGGAAAGTGATTTTGAGCCTCTCTGTGATGGTACCACGAGGCGTCGCTCACTAGCGGATCTCAGACTTCTGGAGGGGATGTAGATTCGTAGTAGTGATTGGAAGTAGGCGGGTGCTGAGTCTGTGGCTGTTCTATATGCAAGCATCAATGTCTTGAACTTGATTCGAGCCGCAACCGGTAGCCAGTGCAAGGAGATAAGGAGAGGTGTAACATGGGCTCTTTTGGGCTTGTTGAAGACCAGTCGTGCCGCTGCATTCTGAATCATTTGTAGAGGTTTGATTGTGCTTGATGGAAGTCCAGCCAGAAGAGCATTGCAGTAGTCCAGCCTAGAGATGACAAGGGCCTGGACAAGAAGTTGTGCAGCATGCTCCGTTAGAAAGGGCCTGATCTTTCTGATGTTGTGCAATGCAAACCTGCAAGATCGAGTAGTCTTTGCAATGTGGTCTTTGAAGGTCAGCTGGTCATCAAAGGTTACACCAAGATTTCTGACCGAAGTCGATGGGGTAATTGTAGAAGAACCTAGCTGGATGGTGAAATCATGCTGTAGAGTTGGAGTGGCAGGGAAGACAAGAAGCTCAGTCTTTGCCAGGTTGAGCAGTAGGTGATGTTCTTTCATCCATGCAGAGATGTCCGCCAGGCAGCCTGAGATACGTGTAGCTACCGTTGGATCATCTGGTTGAAATAAAAGATAGAGCTGTGTGTCATCAGCATAGCAATGGTAGGAGAAACCATGTGCCTGTATGATGGCTCCCAGTGATGTAGTGTATATGGAGAAGATGAGAGGTCCAAGAACTGATCCCTGAGGAACCCCAGTGACCAGTTGATGTGCTTTGGATACCGCCCCTCCCCAGGCCACCCTGAAAGACCTACCAGTGAGATAGGATTCAAACCAGCGAAGTGGAATCCCTGTGATGCCCAGTGAAGAGAGGGCAGACAGGAGGATCTGATGATTGACAGTGTCAAAAGCAGCAGATAGATCCAGCAGGCATTGTTCAAATAAGTACAAGCTAGAAAAGGGAAGGAATAAATAAATTCCTTTTATACATTTTTGTTTTTTTTAAAGATGAAGTCAAGTAGCGACGAAAAAGATGAGTTTTCAGCTGTCGCTTGAAAATTGTCAGGGAATCATTCCGGATGGGGGTTGGAAGATCATTCCACCAGCCAGGAACGGTGAACGAAAATGTTCTGGAAAGTGATTTTGAGCCTCTATGTGATGGCACCACGAGGCGTCACTCACTAGCGGATCTTAGACTTCTGGAGGGGATGTAGATTCATAATAGTGAGTGGAAGTAGGCGGGTGCTGATCCTGTGGATGTTCTATATGCAAGCATCAGTGTCTTGAACTTGAAGAGAGATAAAGAGAGGTGTGACGTGGGACCTTTTGGGCTCGTTGAAGACCAGTCGTGCCGCTGCATTCTGAATCATTTGTAGAGGTTTGATTGTGCTTGATGGAAGTCCAGCCAGAAGAGCATTGCAGTAGTCCAGCCTAGAAATGACAAGGGCCTGGACAAGAAAGAATAAGAACTGATGATTTGGAATCAGCTTTTGCAATCCGCAGGGCTTCAGTGACTGACAGTAGCGCAGTCTCAGTTGAATGGCCACTTCTGAAGCCTGACTGGATAGGATCCAGTTGGTTGTTCTGTGAAAGAAATAATGATACCTGGTTAAAAACAACTCGTTCGAGTGTTTTCACTATGAAAGGAAGGAGAGAGACAGGTCTGTAGCTATCTATAAATGAAGTGTTTAATGTAGGTTTTTTGAGCAGTGTGGTTACCCGAGCCTGCTTGAATGCAGTGGGGAAAGATGCTAGATTTCTCCAAATCTGTTCTGATGAAGAAACAAACTCATCTCTAATCATTTCTTTAAGACAAATTTAATAGAATTTATAGGCAAACCTCAATAAATTCAAATGTTAACAGCATTAAATCTATTGACAGCCATACAACATTCTCATTTGTTTACCTCACAGCACAGAGCAGCTCTCAGATCAGCTGTTATAAGACCCTTCCAAATTTGTGTGTGTGTGTTTGTAGATTACAGTCATTCAGATGCTGATGTGTTGAATCAGTCTCTGTTGGAAGGAAATATTGCCACAGAAGTTTGTCTAACAGTTCTGGACACACTGAGCATCTTCATCATGGGCTTTAAGGTCAGACATCAACCATCATCATAATCATCATCATCACAATCACCTGCAATCATGAGTGGTGTTTGTTCGCTTTATTCCTCACTGATAACAGTGTGTGTGTTTATATGTGTGTTTGCTCTCAGACTCAGCTGAGTTTGGATCACGGCCACAATCCCCTCATGAAGAAAGTCTTTCAGGTTCATCTCTGCTTCCTACAAATCAACCAATCAGAGACGGCCCTCAAACAGGTCTTCACTTCTCTTCGTACTTTCATCTACAAGGTGAGTGGGACAATAGAATAAGCACATAAATCAATGGCTACTAAAAGGACAGTCCATCCAAAAATGAAAAATCTGTCATCATTTACGAGGGCCCTATGAGTTTGTGGAGTGGAAAATACAGATAGAATCCCGTCATAAATTGCATAATTTCACAGAATTTGGCAAATTTTGGATGAATAAATCAAAAGTGGGGTTGTATTTATCAAATTGCAATATGTACTAGTGTCTGTGAAAATTTAACTGTGAAAGACTGATATTTAAATCTGGAGTCTGCATTTCTGCATGTCTCTGTGTGAGTGAGTGTTGCAGTACAATAATATTGTACTTCTACTATACAACATTACGCAATAATAATAATAATAATAATGAAATTATTAAAACCTTTTTTAAAGGAATATTTCAGTGTTTTAATTTAAATTTTTTACAGTAAACTTCTGTTGTTCAGCACTTTGTTTGCCTAAAAATCAAATGAATTGTTGAATTTTTATTTGATAATATTTGAAAAGGTTAAAAGATTATTTAAAAAAAAATTTTTTATTGTTAATGTTTTATGCTTTAATTTGATTACCACCATTGTTGATAATAAATGTGTATTAAATTAAAAATCCAAGTAAATTAAAACATAGAAAATTAGAATTTCTTTAAAAAAACAAATCTTAATGTCAGAATGTTAATAAATTATCAGTTGTTAAAGTTTTATAAATTCAATTTATTAGTCATGCTTTTTGATCTGATTTCATTGAAATCTAGAAAATGTAAAACAGAAAATACAGAATTTGGCAAAAATAAAACAATTTTGGAAAAAAAAAATTAATCCAATTTGTAAAAAAAAAAAAAGAAAAAAAAGAAACGCATTTCATAGGGTTTTAATTTACTTCCCCTCATGTCATTCCAAATGATGAAGATTATGTTCACACTGCTGTTTTCCTGTTTTCTTTCATGTATGTGTCCAGTTTCCATGTACGTTTTTCGAGGGCCGTGCGGATATGTGTGCGTCTTTCTGCTACGAGATTCTGAAGTGCTGTAACTCCAAACTGAGCTCCATCCGCAGCGACGCGGCTCATCTGCTCTACTTCCTGATGAAGAGCAACTTCGACTACACTGGACGCAAATCCTTCGTCCGCACACACCTGCAGGTGGAAAAACACCACGTTTATCACATGACGCTGAAGTCACAGTGCTTGGATGTGTCTGGATTATTTCATCCAGTCTTTACAGATTCGATGACGACAGCATGTGATGATGTCATAGCGACGTCATGTTGTGATTGGTTGTGACTCCTCAGGTGGTGATTGGCGTCAGTCAGCTGATCGCTGATGTCATCGGAATAGGAGGGACAAGGTTCCAGGAGTCGCTGTCAATCATCAACAACTGTGCCAACAGTGACAAAACTATCAAAGTTAGTTCATTTTAAATACACTCACGCAAGCGCTAGATCCTGAAACAAAGATCAGATGTGTCTGATTACAGTGGAAGTGATTTTTGGGGACAGACAACATTGTGTTATGCTTGATTTTTCAAAGAGTTGATTTGTTGGGATATAAAATGTAATGTGTCTTGGAAATAAACAGGTAGTTTTAGGATTTAAGAATGTTATTTGTCACTTGTGAACTCTCTTGTACAAATGGTCAAATATCCAAGATGATTCTTTAAACATTTAAACAAAACAAACAAACAAAAAAATATATATATAATATATTATAAAATAGTTATAATATATTATAAAATATATATTATGAAAAGAGCCTCTTAAGCTCATCAATTCTGCATTTATTTGATAAAAAAAAACAGTAATATTGGAAATATTATTACAATTGTTTTGTGTTTTAATATATGTTCAAATGTAATTTATTCCTGTCTTGCAAAGCATCAATTACTCCAGTCTTCAGTGTCACATGATCTTTCAGAAATCATTCTAAAATGCTGATTCGCTGCTCAAGAAGCATATAATATTATTATAGATAATAACTATAATATATTTATAGTGCTGCATAATATATTTTTTTTAAATAGTACTTTTTTTCAGGATTCTTTGATGAATAAAAAGTTTTTAAAAAATGGCATGTATTTGAAATAGAATAAAAAAACTAATTTACCCCAAATTTTTGAACTGCAGTGTATAATTTAATATCACACACACACACAAATATTACTTTAGCAAATTACACAATATAAGCATTGTCAGTAGTTTTTTATCTGTAATTTTAATGCATTACAGATTCATTCAAAAAGGTTTTGGATCAATAGATCCGGATCTAGTTCTAGCTTGTTCTGGGGAAAATACAGTTCTACACAGACTCATACTCTGACATTTACACATTCACACACAGTCACTCATCCCCTTCCTTCTCCCACAGAACACAGCATTCCCATCTGAGGTGAAAGACTTGACCAAGAAGATCCGCACTGTTCTGATGGCCACGGCTCAGATGAAGGAGCACGAGAGAGACCCCGAGATGCTGGTGGACCTGCAGTACAGTCTGGCCAAATCTTACGCCAGCACTCCTGAACTCCGCAAGACGTGGCTGGATAGCATGGCCCGTATCCATGTGAAGAATGGAGACCTCTCTGAGGTACATCACACACAGTCACACACATCTTCATGTATGTTTTAACTGTGAAGCTAATGTTCTCTGGTTTGGTTCTCTTCAGGCAGCCATGTGTTATGTGCATGTAGCAGCACTGGTGGCCGAGTACTTGAGGAAAGGTTAGACACACACACACACACACACACGCACTCAAACACTTGTGATGATGCTATTATAGTCTAGGGATTGTCAACTTTAGTCGTGGAGTTGAGAAAGGAGCAATTTAGAGAACAACAGTGACCTACTGGAGAATTCTAGAAGTATTTTTCCATTGGGATATTAAACATTTGTCAATAAAGAGTTGTAAGCCTTGAAACACACTAAGCATCTCTGAAATAAAACGTTTAGAAATCAAAGCATTCTTTCAATAAACATTAAATAAATATTAAAATTAAAAATATAATATATATATATTATTTCACATAAATCACATAAAAATACTTGTTGATCACTTTAGTAACAGGGTTAAATGTTTACACTAGAGTTCAAAAGTTTGGGGCCAGTAAGATTTTTCTATTCATAAAAATTTTGTCTTCATTAAAAAAATCCTGAAAATGTATTTATCTTTCCGCAAAACATTGGTAATAATTAAAAATGTTTCTTGAGCAGCAGATCAGCATATTATACTGATTTCTGAAGGATCATGTGACACTGAAGACTGGAGTAATGCTGCTGAAAATTCAGCTTTGATCACAGGAATACATTTTACGCAAAATTTCTGTTTTTACTGTATTTCTGATTAAATTAATGCAGCATTGGTGAGCATAAGAGACTTCTTCCAAAAACATTATCCTTACAAAAGCCTTACAAACCCCTTTTTTTTATGGAATTACAGTATTTGTTATGGGTTTAAGAAAATAAAATTAAATATATATATACAGTGCTATGAAAAAGGTTTTGCCCCCTTCCTGTTTTTTTTTTTATTTTTTGCATATTTGTCACATTTGCATGATTCAGATCATCAAACAAATTTTAATATTACACACAGATAACCCGAGTAAATACAAAATGCAGTTTTGAAATAATGATTTCATTTATTAAGAGAAAAAAGCTGTCCAAAGGCATGATGTGTTGCTCTTTAAGCATGCTTCACTTTGTCAGACAGGTTCTATTTAAGTGATTTCTTGATTCAACAGGTCTGGCAGTAATCAGGCCTGTGTGTGGCTAGTGAAATTTAACTCAGCTTTCTGTGCGGTTAATCACAGTTCTTTCATGATTTAACAGGAAGGGGCAATTACTTTTTCACGTAGGGCCAGGTAGGTTTGGACAGCTTTTTCCCTTAATAAATGAAATCATCATTTAAAAACTGCATTTTGTATTTACTTGCATTATCGTTGTGTAATATTAAAATTTGTTTGATGTTCTGAATCTTTTAAGTGTGACAAATATGCAAAAAAATAAAAAATAAAAACAGGAAGGGGGCAAAAACCTTTTCACAGCACTATATATATATTTTTTTTTTTGTTTGTTTGTTTATTGTTCCTATGTTGTAGAAAGAGTCCAAAAACATTTCACAGTATTTTAGAGGGAAATAAAAGCAAAGTGTGCTAAATATTATGTACAGTATTTAATCATTAATATATATAACACTGCAATTTGAATATTAATTCAACACATTTTATATATGAAAAGGGTACACTATTGTAAAATTGCCAAGTGTCTTATTTGTAATTAATTTTTATGATATTTACTTTTGAAAATCCTACTGTCTGGTCTATAATTGGTAAGAATGCTTGAGTTAGTTTTAAGTCTTAGCTACCAAGGACACATGTCTAATTTTTTCAGGTATTTACTCTTAATGATTACACAGTAGTATGTGGAAGGTTTCACTATCAGTCATGTTTCTTTTCTCACCTTCTCACCTCCTCATATCTCTCCCTTCCGCATGTCTGATAAAGTCCCTGAAGATATAAGTTATCACTCAGTATGTTAAGAATTAAAACATTTCATGACAGGACTCACTCCAAACAATTATCCTTCACCTTTTCTACCAGGCATTATCACACATCTGGCTGTTTTCATATGTCTGTTTTTTAAATGGCATTGCTTCAGGAAAACTCTCTCTCCAAATGTGAATTGTAATGGTTGTTTGTGTGTTTGTGTAGGCACGTTTAAACAGGGCTGTACTGCATTCAGAGTGGTCACACCAAACATCGATGAAGAAGCGTCTATGATGGAAGATGTGGGGATGCAGGATGTTCACTTTAATGAGGTGAATATCTGTCTGAAAGCCAACAAACCATCCATTCAAATCAGAGGAGAAACAAATAGTCATGATGCTCAGCAAAAAGCAAATTCACACAGTAGAACAGATGGAGCAATGAGAAGCCGCCTTTTACTAGGAATGCACCGATACCACTTTTTTCAGAACGAGTCTGATACCGATACTTTAATTTTTGGTACTCGCCGATACCGATACCTGTATTTTCACAGCATTTGTAATTTTTTTTTTAAATATTGGGTGCAGAAACAAAATAATAGTAATAATAGTAATAATAATAATATGAATCATGTTAGTTGGCTTCATTTAGCAAACAGATATTACCTTCAGTTATTTCCACACTTAATTTACCTGTTAGAACAGAAGTGCGTGCTCTCGGACTCTCTCACTCTCTCTCTCGCTCTCCTTACCGTCAAATAACTTTAGTAACTTGTGCATTGTTTTACTTACTTGCTTTTGAAATATCCGACCGAACTACAAACTTTCCAGTGATGTCTGTGAGATATCTGTGCAGCCGCGTGCTCAATCCACTCAGCGCACTCTGCTTATCAGCTCGGGCACATCTGCTATACAGGCGTGAATATTGAATGTTTAACATTATATTAATTACTTACATGTACTTCATAGACATCCTTAATCTCTAATAACTCCATTCTACTCTCTGTTGTTCTGTTTTCAGTGTTTCTTTTTCTGGACACAGCTCTATTCACACGCTGTTTGGTATCGACTTTTGGTATCGGGGCATTTTTACGAGTACGAGTACGAGTACAGGAGTGCAGTATCGGGCCCGATACCGATACTAGTATCATCCCTACCTTTTACAGTAGCTGCTATCAGAAGCAGAATTCAGGAGAAGCAAGTTCAAGACTGAATTTGAGAAATAAAAATAAAAATGTCATTTGCAGGGCAGAATTTGAAATTCAAAGGTCAGCAGAAACAACAGTGATAAATGAAGTGCTATTAGATCCATAAAGTGCTTGATTCATTTTGAGAATGATTGAATCTGTATTTCTGATGCGCATGAGACGAGTAAAGAGCACTGCTGCAGAAATATATCTCATGAGTCATTACTTCCTACGTATATATTTTACTGCAGTATCCAATAACTCCATTCATATAATCCATAACCCATTGTTTCTATTAAAAACACATTGAATGTCCATATCTGAATCTCCAGGTACAATGTGAATTGTCTGAATGCAAAACTGCTGCATGCCGTTACACAATCACGGCCAAAATGTATTTGATGTTTAATATTCAATTTTGAAGTGGAAGATTTTGGACCAGTAAGATTTCACTTGAGGCAGGGCTATCATATTTTGATCAACAAAATTACTTGCATTTTTGTCACATCATATCAAGTTAAGATACAGCATTATAGAGTGTCAGTGTTGATTTAGTTTAATATTAGTGCAGTAAAAGAGGGAAGCAATAAACTAATGTCCATGTAACTGATGGTGGTTAGCAGTGAGCTTATCTCCACTGTGACTGATACTCAACTCAATATATATATATATTATTTCAGCTAGTTTCCAAAGCAACATTTCTAATTTTTGTTTAGATTAACTTGGACTAAAACTAAATCTGAAATTTAAAAAAGAATAAAAATGACAAACACAACAAAATTAGTGAAACTTTTAACAATTAAAATGAATTAAAAAATGATCATTTAAATAAAAAATGGAAAATGTTTAATAAAAAAATAGTACTTCAACGATACCTGACGAAAATATGATTAATTGAGCAAAAATGATTTAAGAAGTGAATTAAGTGAATTTAAAAAAGTGAATTTAGTCAAAATTCGAGCACAGATTACATTTACATTTGTTATGTGGAGACATTCAGTGAGGCTTAAGCGAGACTAAATACTTTTGTATTTACTGTATGCAAAAATTAGACAAATCTGCATTGTAAGGTTTTAAATGTTTAAGTGTGTGTTTGTTTTTGTGCCTCCTAGGACGTCCTGATGGAGCTTTTGGAAGAATGTGCTGATGGTTTATGGAAAGCAGAGCGTTATGAGCTCATCTCTGACATCTACAAACTCATCATTCCCATTTATGAGAAACGCAGAGATTTTGAGGTACAGCAGTAACACACACTGCAGAATAAAAAGGAGTGTGTGTTGAATGTCTAAAGCCTCGTACACACCGGGACGATTATCTCGCGCGCTTATCGCCGATGTTTTTCGACGCGTCTTTTGTGTTCATACCCAAGCGATTTTCGCTGGCGATGAGCCGAGTGAACGTGCAAATTCACTCCCTGACATTAGATGGCGCTTCATAAAAAAACAGAAATACCCGGTACACATCGAATCCTATTTGATCTGCAATTCCTCTCCATAACAACTCCCTCTTATCGAGATTTTTGTAGTCGCTGTCGCGTTTGTCATAAAGCCCTTTGTGTTCAGAGACCAATGAGACCAGCAGCTCTACGTTCATCTTGCCTCGATGCATCTTCTTGGTCTACTTATTTCCTCTTTGTCGTTAGGTATCAATGTGTGCTCAGCAAGACCGTTTTGTGCTTGAGCGCCACCAAGTCGTGTTTTACTGTAACTTCAGCAGCTCCAGGCACGTGAACAAAAGCGGCAATCTCATTGGTCGGCCAGTTTTTAACGCGGCGCGTCAAACCAAAAAAACGAACCCGAGGCGTTTTTTTTTAAATTACGCTTTTACGCCTCGCGTTTTGCGCGTCGGTGTGCACACTCACATTGGCGCCCTTTGTTTAGTCACGAGGCGTTAAACGTCGGCGATAATCGCGCGCGATATTCGTCCCGATGTGAACAAGCCTTAAGGGTGTGTTACCGGAGCTTTTACTAAAATTACACACATCAGTACAGAAATTGAAACTCACCTTTAAATCAGAGCCGATGTGTTTTGTAAACCCTGTTGTTGATGTTTATGGCAGAGACTGGCTCACCTCTATGACACCCTGCACCGTGCCTACAGTAAGGTCACAGAGGTCATGCACACGGGCAAACGCTTGCTGGGAACGTATTTCAGAGTAGCGTTCTTCGGTCAGGTGAGTCTCATCAGCTTCACTCATCATGTCTTTATCAGGACGAGCTCTATAATGACTCTTTATTGTGTCTATTCATGTGTCATGTGATTCATGTTTCTGCTGGTTCACTGTCTGAAGGCAGCGGTAAGTCTTGTGTGTTTGAGTTGAACTTTCTGTGGCCTAACATGGACTACTGTATTTCTATGCTCATGTTTTATCTTCAGCTTTGGGTGTAAAAAAAACATTTATGGGATTTTGAAGCCTCCAACGTATAAACATTACAATCTGGTCAAATAAAACAACAGTATTGCCCTGCTGACATAAACTTTGAGTTTAGTTGCATTGCTGGCTCTTGGTGTGCTTACCTGCATCTCCTGCTGCACTGATTTTCTTAAATAATTTTGTGTGTGCAGATATGTGTGTTTTGCATTTGGTTGGTAACACATAACATGTCCATTAACCTTTTTTGATCAGCATCAAGATTTTTAGGTTAAAATTTACAGCATATGAATTAGGCCTGGGCGATAAAACGGTATCGATATTTATCGACGGTACACCTTCAATATCAATAGAAAAAATGTTCGATATAGTGCACGATATAGGCACATGCTATGAGTGACGCAGACAGCACACACGAACACATGCTGAATTGAGTGCTGTGCCTGCCTGTGATGAGGAGTTTGTGAATAAAAAAATTAATATTAGTCGAATTTAAAATAAACATTTGCATTTGAATGTAAAAATAGCACAATCAAATGTTAGGAGATGCGGTGATGATGATGTAATTGACGTTTTTGCGTTTTAATGTTTTGTTAGTCTAGCCCACGAGACGCGCAGTTGCTGCGTTATTCATTCAAAATATTAGAGAAATATAGAAGCTCAATGCGGAGAAGATCTTGATTAGGTTAAAACCTAAACCAAGCCATTCACACAGAACACATATTTAGCGCATTTTTAGACGGACAAATATGACTTACTGTTAAAACAAAAAATATTTGTTGTTTGTCTCAATAAATTGAGTTAATTTAAAAATACAGTGGTTAAATTAAAAAAAAAAATTTCTGTTGGTCTTTGTTTTAAAAAAGGTTATAAAAAATGTCAACAATTATCTATACCGAACGATATGAAACAATATATCGTTCATAAATTTTTTTGCTATATCGCCCAGCCCTAATATGAATATATAACCCTTGGGAAATAAGAAGTAAAAGACTGAACTCGCAGCTAATATACTATTAATGAAATAAAAGGCCACTTCAGTGTACTTAAAGAGAGACACTTTCATGACTGATTCTTAACCTTAAGTAGACTTTTTTTAAAAGTGCACTTTGCAATATCAAAGTCTCAATAAATTGAGTTAATTTAAAAATACAGTGGTTAAATTAAAAAAAAAAATTTCTGTTGGTCTTTGTTTTAAAAAAGGTTATAAAAAATGTCAACAATTATCTATACCGAACGATATGAAACAATATATCGTTCATACATTTTTTAGCTATATCGCCCAGCCCTAATATGAATATATAACCCTTGGGAAATAAGAAGTAAAAGACTGAACTCGCAGCTAATATACTATTAATGAAATAAAAGGCCACTCAGTGTACTTAAAGAGAGACACTTTCATGACTGATTCTTAACCTTAAGTAGACTTTTTTAAAAAGTGCACTTTGCAATATCAAAGTTTCACTTCAAAGTACATTTTAAATCATTGTTTTAATAATCTTTTGTCATGACTTCATGTGCATTTCACTAAAAATGTTTTTTTTATTGGTTTTATTTTATTGGTTTTTGTTAAATGTGAGCCAAAATCATCACAATTAAAAGAACCAAAGACTTAAACTACTTCAGTCTGTGTGCATTGAATTTATTTAATACACGAGTTTCACAATTTGAGTTGAATTACTGAAATAAATGAACTTTTCCACGACATTCTAATTTATTGAGATGCACCTGTACATGGGAAGTGTATGTCACAACTTTTTGGCCAGTGATAGGCTTACATTCAGTGATTTGGAAACAAATACATACTTATAAAGCCATGTTTTGTAATGTCTTTCCAGTATTTACGTATCTGCCACAATATGTAATGTCTTTTGGCAGCATGTATTGGTAGAAATGTGAATATTGTGTTATCTGATACATTTTTTCACTAGGAGCCCTAAAAAAAGTTATTTGCAAATGCATTTTAAAACAGTCAGCTTCCAAAATGTATTTTAACCCAACTGCCTATATTCTTTTTCATGAAATGATTAGCAGTACATAAGACTTACACAGTATGTCCTGGTACACCTGTAACTTTGAAGATTACAGCACCACCTTCTAAACCTGTTTCTCTGTTCAGCACAAAATGAATTTCCGACTAAAATGGGTGCTTAGTTAAACAACTGAAGTGTGTTTCTCATTGATGAGTTGTTTCTGTCGCTGTGGTGGTTTGTGTCTCTAGCAGTACCAGTGTAATGACTCTGAGATGAACGAGGTAAACTCAACTTTAGTTCTACGTGTGTGTTGTGTTGTGGAAGTCATCATAATCCCTGTTTAGTAATTAGGATTTATCATCAACACTCTACAGTTTTTATACTTCCCAGTATTTCTGTTGAAAATAGTTGTGTTCTGTGACTAAATTCGTGTTCAAATAGCTAGTAGGCAAATAGCTTGACTTTGTTTCAGGAGCAAGTTTTCAATGCATTCTTCTGATTGATTCAGATTTGCTTGTTGTTTTAGGGGTTCTTCGAGGATGAAGACGGTAAAGAATACATATATAAGGAGCCCAAATTCACCCCACTGCCTGAGATCTCTCAAAGACTCCTTAAACTGTATTCAGACAAGTTTGGAGCTGAGAATGTCAAAATGATCCAGGATTCTGGCAAGGTAGAAGTGTTCACATACGATTTTGCATAACCAGACTTTTGACTATCAGAACAAAGTCTGATTCACATTGCAACTTATTCTGGCCAAGAAACGCCCACCTTAGACAGGAAGAGATTGACTGATCTGTCAAACGTGTCAAGTTTTTTGGGGTGGGTAAACCTGAAATCGCATACAGTATATCATATGGGGCATATACCTGCAGTGTGGCTTTTTCTAGAAGATTTTAAGATGTCAATATTTGTGTTTGCCATGAGATGTAGAAGTCCAGACATATTTAACCAGCAGTGAACAGTGTGGTTTAACTAGTACTACAACTATAAATACAGAGTTCTGGCATGAAACTCTTGATGGCGCAGTCCGATAGGTCTAACTCAATCTGACCTAATGACATCATCACATGGCACAGCTGATTGGTTCTACGCTATATGGGGGTTATTTCATGGATGTTATATTTGCAGCAACAATATTCTTACATGCTCACAGCAGCATGTTGTGGATGTCTCGGTACTTGCTCTGCCGCAGCAGCAGCGTAGCAGATCTATTCCGCCAGGACCAAATACATTAACATTGTCATGTACATTACCATGCCAATCCCTCTGAGAGTTGTCATGACAGAACTGCCTTTAAGCTAAAGCTGCGTTACTGTTCGGTGCAGATTAATCCGAAGGATCTGGACTCTAAATACGCCTACATCCAAGTGACTCATGTCACCCCGTTCCTGGAGGAGAAGGAGCTGCTGGAGAGAAAAACAGACTTTGAGAGGAGCCACAACATCCGTCGATTCGTCTTTGAGATGCCGTTCACCGTTTCAGGCAAAAAACAAGGCGGCGTAGAGGAACAGTGCAAACGCAGGACTATCCTCACCGGTGAGTACTCACACTTACACACTGCATACTGGCCATAGAGACGAAAGATAGAGATAAGTTACACTTCCAGAGAGATCCTCCCAATCACAAAGTATAGGCCTTATCTTCACAGAGCAGATCCAGACAACCTCCGTGTCTCGGATTTAATGCTCAGCGAATATGTCAAATCTTTCAGAACTGTTTAAAAGCATCTCATGAAGTCGTTTGAGTTCATGTCCAAAGCGAGGAAAGCTGGTGTCTAGACAAAGAAGCAGCTCAAATATAAGAGAGAGAGATAAGAATCATATTGAAACACTTGTTGAGTGTTCGCGATTTTAATTATTTAATGGTTTAACCATTTAATGAGCGAAAAACGACTCTGCATTTGTAATGTGTTAGCTTTGACCCTAACCATAATATTACTAACTTCATTCTTGGTTAGACGTCATATGTAAATCTTCTGTTCGTTCTCTTCATCTCTCAGCCACACACTGTTTCCCGTACGTGAAGAAGCGGATCGCGGTGATGTATCAGCACCATGTGGATTTGAACCCCATTGAGGTGGCGATTGATGAGATGAGTAAGAAGGTGCTGGAGATCAGACAGCTGTGTTCCTGCAGCGATGTGGACATGATCCAGCTGCAGCTCAAACTACAGGGCAGCATCAGTGTGCAGGTACACACACACACACACACACACACACACATGACCTTATGCTCAGTGAGTTTTAGAATGTCATGTGACATATGTAAACCTGTCTTTCACTCTCTCTTCAGGTCAATGCCGGGCCTCTTGCTTATGCCAGAGCTTTCCTGGATGACACCAGCACTAAGAAATACCCAGACAACAAAGTCAAACAGTTGAAAGAAGTTTTCCGGTAAAACACACACTTCAGTCTCTGAGAACTCCTTCGTCTAAAACTATTTTAAACAACATTGCATATATACCTGTACAATGCAATATATACTTTTTTTTTTTTTACTCAAAAAAAAATCAAAAGTTTAATCAAAAGTGACAGTATAGACATTCATAATGTTACTAAATATTTCTATTTCAAATAAATGCTGTTCTTCTGAACATTCTATTTATCATAGAATCCTGATAAAATGTCACAGTTTCCATAAAAATAAACAGCGGTTTTCATTATATTTTAACATGTATTAAACAAGAAAACAGTTGTTTTAAATTGAAATAGTATTTCTCAATGTTACTGTTTTTGCTGAATTTTTGTTTAAAAAAAACAAAACAAAATCTTACAGACTCTTATATGCAATATATAATAATGAGCTCACATTGAACTACAATTAAACTTCACAACAGCTCAGCTGTTTAAAAATGGCGAAAGATCCTATGAAATAACACAAAAACACTAGTATGTGAACATGGGAATTATGTTACCTGAATTATGCCCTTTTTAATTTAAGTAAATCGAATCTTAAATCTTATTTTTGTGCTTTTTCAAAATAGCCACCTTTGTGTAGATTACAGCTCTGCGCGAAATTATTTTGTCAAGAAGTTCAAACATTGAAACAATTTATGTGTGCCCACACATTGACTGGTATTGAAATTGAAATCTGCAGTTGTGTGTATTTGTGTGGTGTTTTGCAGGCAGTTTGTGGAGGCGTGTGGTCTTGGTTTAGGTGTTAATGAGCGTCTGATTAAAGAAGATCAGCAGGAGTATCATGACGAGATGAAGGCCAACTACAGAGATCTCACTAAAGAGCTGTCCGCCATTATGCATGAGCCTGTAAGACACAAATAGTTCACCCAAAAATGAAAATCGTGTCATCAATTACTCCCCCTCATGTTCTTACAAACCTGTATGAGTGTGCGTCTTCTGTTAAACACAAAAAAAGATATTTTGAAGAATGTTGGTGACCAAACAGTTGACGGCAGCCATTGACTTCCATAGTATTTTTTTTTCAATGGCTGTCAACTGTTTAATTACCAACATTTTTCTAAATATCTTCTTTAGTGTTCAACAGAAGAAAGAAGCTCAGGTTTGGAACAACTTGACAGTGAGTAAATGATGACAGTTTTGCTTTTTGGGTGAACTATCCCTTTAAACTTTCTCATACTTATGTATAACGTCTTTTCATTGTGTTTTTTTTTTTAATCTCTCCATTTTCTTTTCCTCTTTTGCTCTCATGGTCACACTGAATGGTAAATGATTTCTTATAACTGAAACATTCTTAAAACCTGGGATCCGCAGCCACAGAAACCCACAGGATTCACACACACACGTCATTCACTGCATTCTACACATAATGCTTTCTGCTACCAATGAAACTCTCATCTCCATTTAAAATGATGTGTTTTTTTCTTGCTAGCATATATACATAAATTTGGAAACTCTGAATTATATGAAAGCTCCCGTTTCATATTGTGAAATCAGGAAAATGCAACTAAAATGATGTCTGTTTGATGTAATTTTATTATAGCTACTGTTACCTGATGCGTTTTTGGCTTCAAAATTTAGAGTATTTTCATTGTTTATTTATTTATTTATTTATTTCGCACAAAAAAAAAAGGGACAGTGTACATTAATCAACATTCATGAATGTAAATGTACGCAAATTAGCCCGAAGGCTAGTTTTCATTGGTAGTCCCTTTGCCAGATGTTATTAGGCCAAAAAACTAGAGAAAGAAAAGAAACAAAATAGAAAGACAATAACAACGAAATTCAACCAAAAATGATAAATAATGTAGTGGTAACAAACCGCACATGCATCCTTAAGATAATATTGTCTGATAATATGACTGATCACAGTTACTATGCAGGATTGGTCAGTGAAGTTTAGCAAAAGATCAGCTGCAACACTACGAGAGCCACTGATCTATAATAGAGAATATAATATAATAGTCATTATATATAGATCAGTGACGAGAGCACAAATGTCTGTAGATTTGATCCCACAAGAAAATGTGAAGAACCGTTTCAATTTGTTTGTCTTGTCTTATTTTATTTACAGTATATTTTTTATTCATTTCAAAAAAATTAATGTTTTGTTTTGTCTTGTGTTTTGTTTTTGTAAATGCAAAGCGCTGTTCAGATTCCATGTGGCTTTTATACTCGCTGCAGTGCTGCGTGATTTCCTCTCTGTTTCCGTCCCCGGCTCCACAGATCAGTCCAGTGGATGATGGGATGCGCAGTCCTCTTCCAGACTCGCTGCACATCTTCAATGCCATCAGCGGGACGCCCACTGCCGCCACTCTCCAGGGCCTGCCAAACTCCTCCTCAGTGGTGTGAACCTGACCCCTGCAGTGACCTTATGACCTTTCACCTTTCATTTCACACCTCTCCCAGACCTCATGAAAGGGGATCTGTATGTTCCTGCCTCATCCAGGGGATTTCACCTGCTGTTTCCTGTGGAGACTTAATCAAAAACTGTATTTTATTTTGGCCATTTGGCCAGTTTTATTAATAGCCGTAGGAAAGAGAGGGAGAATGGGTCTGAAAATGATGCAAGCCAAATTCAATCTTGTAAGCACTGCATTCAACGTGTGCTAACATCCAAACTCTTGACTCTGACTGCAACGGCTTTTACATATTATACATATCTGCATCCTCTGCATTATTCTATATTGTTTTATTTTGTATGACTTGTTCAAGCTCAGATTTTCAGTTTTTGATGTCTACTTGTTTTGCTGGCTCGCTGTCTGAGAGGCGTCTGACGTTGCCATCGAGTTCAAACCGCCGTCAGCATCAGACGGGTTTAAAGCTGTCATATGTGAGCCATGAGTCCGTGAGTGTGTTTGTGCAGCAGACGCACATTGAGTGGGCGTGGCATTCGTGTGAGGAGGTCAGCGCTTTCACTGCATGTGATACACTGGAGGTGCGGCGGAGCTTGTGCAGACACAAATGCTAATGTTCAACATTATTATCAGTTATCAAATATTTTTATACTGTGGGACAGCTGAATGTGATGTTGTTTTTATCTGTATTTAACAGTCTCTACTCTGCTGTATTTAAACTGGTATTGTCCCTAATGCTTTGAATAAAATCTCATACAATTCTCAAACACTCTTTCAGTTGTTGGGTTTTTTTTTTTATTCAAAACAAATTATCCAGATTTTTAACCATCATTAATTACCATAATTATATTGTGTTTTATCTTGTCTTTTCAATGTTGTTTTGTCTTTTGGTTGTTGTTTTGTTTGTTGTGTTTTGTCTTTTCGATTCTGTTCTTTGTTTTGTCTTGTTTAGTTTTTTTGTTCGTTTATTTTCTATTTTGCTTTGTTTTGTCTTATTTTTTTGTCTTTAGCTTTTTTGTCTTTTTTGTCATGTCTTGTGTATTTTTGTTTTATTTTGTTGTTTTGTTTTCTTATTTTTTGTCTTTAGTTGTTTTGTCGGGTTTTTTTTGTCATGTCTTATTTTTTGTCGTGTAGTTTTGTTTTGTTTTGTCTTGTTTTTTGTCACATTTTATTTTTTAGTTTTGTTTATTTTTTATCTTGTTTTTTGTCATGTCTTTAGTTTTTGTTTTGTCTTTTTTTGTCATTTTGTTAATTTTTGTTTTATTTTATGTATTTTTTTGTTGTCTTGTTTTTTTCTATTATTTTTGTTTTGTCTTGGTTTTTGTTTGTTTGTCTTGTCTTCAGCTTTTTGTTTTGTCACGTCCTATTTTTTGGTTTGTCTTGTTTTTGTTTTTTTCTTGACTTATTTTTGTTTTGTCTTTTTGTCGTATTTGTCTTATTTTTTTATATTGTCTTGTGTAATTTTTGTTTTGCCTTGTCTTATTTTAGTTTTGTCTTGTCTTTTGTTTTTTGGTCTTCAGTTTTTTGCTTTGTCTTATTTTTTGTATTTTTTTTTTTGTCTTACGTTTCTTTTCTTTTTTTTTGTCTTGTCTTTTTTTTGTTTGTTTGTTTGTTTGTTTTATCTGAAGATTTGATTTAATGTTACTTCTTCTATAATCCACTATAAACAGCGTAGAAACAGTGTGAGCAGATGTTTTACCCTATGGACCCCTGAGAATTATCTATCACTCTTGCTCTTGTTTATGTCATAAAGCAGACAGGACACAGTCCATGCTAATAAGACACACACCTGTTCTAGGTGCTTTTACTCGGACGTCCTGTCCTGGCCAGGTCTTTTCTCACACAGGTATCCAGCAGGTCACATACACGCACTCCTGCTGCCAGTATGCCAGGTACAACCACAGAAATTACTATTTGTGTGATTTTGCATGTGTACTAAAAAATGATAAATCTCACAGATGAAAAGATGGACGAGACTAAGAAAAAAAAGAAAAAGGTAAGATTTATATAATAATTTTAATTTGATGAAATAATCCTGCAATGCATTTCCTTTTTAATAACTGTTATTTTGTCACGTCAGAATTTGTGTGTACTATTAACATCGTTAAAGAATAAAATTGTCCGTATAAGCGATATAAATCTGGCATGAATGTCTTTGGGGGCATTCAGGTGTATCTTCATTTGGAAAACCGATTTTTAAAATCTTAAAATACAACATGTTTTCATTTAGGGTTAGTGTGTAATAATCGTAACTTTTCTATAATCTTAATTCAAGTTTACAGTATGTTCTGCAGTATATAGATTATGGACTGCATGTTTCCCATTTAGACAGCTACTGTGAGTAAACCTATATTGACTTATCAAAGTGATAATCTCAACGATTCTGATAATGCTCCTTCCATCTTGAATAATGCCACTGTACTGTCTTTTTAATGCCACTGGTACAGACGGCTGAGTGTTATATAGGCTATGGATATGGATATCCAATCAGCATTTTCTTTATTGTGGTCAATGAGTTCTGTGACAAATTTTCCTACTATGGCATGCGAGGTAAGTATGTGTGCGCGCGCGCATTTGTCTCTCAATAAAGAAAAGGCATGTAGAATATTGTGTGAATATAAGTAGTCCATGATGAAATGTTGTAGCAACAAGTGTCAGTCATCTGAATCCAAGTACATGGAACAATATGAAAGAGCAGATCAGTGTTTATGATAACACCGTTGTGCAGTGACTCCTACAGGACAGAAACCGTCCCGGGTTTTGTGGACCTTTGGATATTGTACTCAGAATATATGGGGTCAATTAGTATTTACAGGCTACGTGGAGAAATGCACATCTGTATTTGTGAAACAATTTGACCAATGCTAAGTGTCTGTAGATGAAACACAAGAAGTCTCATGTGAATTGGAAAACTATTCTAGGACTGGTTACTCTAAAAGTATGCCAAATTTCTTCATGGAGACATAATCGTACTGTTATTATTATTATTATTATTATTATTATCTACAACACACATAGAATATCATGTGAGCATGTTTGAGAAAAAGGTTTTTGTAGATCAATGCACCAAGAGCTTGTAACACTCCAAAGAGAAAGGAAAAATTGAAATCGCATCATTTTGACCCCTTTAACTTAGTTTATCTAAATGGGAACATTGCATATTGTTTTTATAGTTTAAACAAAATACTATGGCCCACACGCAGGAAACAGTAAATTTCTACATTTTACAAAAAAAAAACTTTGCAACTTTACAGATCTTCTTTATGCACCAAGAGCTTGTAACACTCCAAAGAGAAAGGAAAAATTGAAATCGCATCATTATGACCCCTTTAACTTAGTTTATCTAAATGGGAACATTGCATATTGTTTTTATAGTTAAAAAAAAATACTATGGCCCACACGCAGGAAACAGTAAATTTCTACATTTTACAAAAAAAATACATATATTTTTATATTAATTTTACAAATGGGGATATCCCAAGAAGTTCCAAAAAGTCTTTGTAACTAGCTCACTTCTGGGAACAAATTTGTCACTAAAACATGGTTAGTGAGGCACACACACACCGACACACTCGTTCCTCTATTTTCTCTCTCTTCTATAGAAACTTCTTATTGCTCAGATAAAGATGGTGTTGAAGGTGTTGTTCCTCTACATTCCTCTGCCCATGTTTTGGACCCTGTTTGATCAGAAGGTAATTATCTATCTGTTATTTCTCACCTCTCACAGGGACTTCGGTGTGTTGGGTGGACTAGCGTTTTGTAATGGTTTGTGTGTGTTGACTGTGTCCAGGGCTCTCGTTGGACTCACCCAGCCACTTCCATGAACAGAGACTTTGTAAGTATCTTGATTTCAGCTAATTGCTCTAAATGAAAGAGTTAATCAGCAGCGACTTGCTGTATGTTTGTGTTATTAATCTAACATGATCTGATGAACCGTCTATAGTCACATGTCAAATCTAGCAGAACTAGGCTCAATACACAGAGATTTATAAAATATCATTAAAATTTCAAATGTGTCTTTTTTTTTTTAATTCGATGTCATTTCCTCTTTTCTATAGGGAGCATTCATCCTGCAGCCAGACCAGATGCAGGTGAGTTTACTGCTGTAATGTTAGCTCCTAGCTCAGTTGACAAATGTGGTATTGTTATCAGAGTGTTTATTAGGCGAGTTATTCATCTTGCACTTGATTATAATGGTCTAGTATTATAATGCCAATACACTGGAAAACATTGTGTGCTCCTGCATTCCTACACTAAAAGTTTGAGATTGGTAAGATTTTTATTTTTCTAATGTTTTGGAAGTCTCTTATATGCGCACCAATTATTTGGTCAAAATGCAGTAAAACCAGTAATATTGTGAAGTATCATGACAATTTAAGACAATTGTTTTCTATGTTAATATATTTTAAAATGTAATTTATTCCTGTGATCAAAGCTGAGTTTTCAGCATCATTACTCCAGTCTTCAGTGTCACATGATCCTTCAGAAATCATTCTAATATGCTGATTTGGTGCTCAAAACACATTTCTTATCACTATCAATGTTTTTATATTTTTGTGGAAACCATGATCCATTTTTTCATTCAAAAGAACAGCATTTATTTAAAAAAAAAAAAAATTTGTAAGATTATAAATGTCTTTACTGTCACTTTTGATAAATGTAGATAAATCCTTGCTGCATAAATGGATTCTTTTTTTTCTTCTTAAAAATAAGATCTTACTGATCCCAGACTTTTGACAGTAGTGTACATACTGTAGCGTGAAATAAACCTGTACCTGTATATAGTTAGACTGAAATCTCTTCTCTGTCAGACTGTGAACCCAATCCTGATCCTGACCCTGGTGCCTATTATGGTCCGGTTAATTTTCCCTCTCATCGAAAAGTGTGGCCTCAATTTCAGGTATGACTTAGAATGACGGTTGGCATGCTGTTTGCTGCCATGGCGTTTGTTTCTGCAGCTTTGGTCCAGATTGAGATCGAAATGTGTGAGTCATATTCATGTCACTGAATAGAGTGACATCTGAATAGAGCAGATGTTCATCAACACGTAATTTTCCTCCACCGAAAACATTGCCAAATTTCCCATCATCCTCTGAGAGCCAGCTAAAGGTGGTGAACATGTACAGCAGAACACTGAATGTGACCATCTCACCCAATGAACATCTTCTGATAGAGTCATTTGGGGTACAACTACACACATCTAAACACACATACTCCGCTATTTCACGCATGCCTGTAGCCTAACAGGAACCTCACTGAGATGTTTCACCACTGATGTTTCTCGTGTTTGTTTTTATAGAGCAGTGCAGATTACATGACCGCTTGACCATCAGGACATCACAGTGTCCTTCAACACGAATCCGATCATCCCCTCCGACCCAACCATCATGTATCTGGTGAGTGTCCACTAAGCAAACATGGTCAAAAACTAATTTATTAACTCAAGAAAAATGGTGGTTGCTCATGCAAAAGTTGGCACTGGAGACCAGAAAAGCAAGCTTATGTTTCGCTGTGTTTCAATGTTTGGTGAACTTTGACCCGCAAATTTGTAATCACAGGAAAGACATGTGACTAGAATAAGATTTTAGCTTAAAGAAAACACAAACTTTAAAGCTGCATGTTTGCAGAATTTGAAGAAAGTGGAGAAGACTGCATATTTTTACATTTTGGATTTATTATTATTTGTTAGATGTTGAATTTATGTTTTTTAAAAAGACACATCAGAGTGTGACATCATATTACAACTGAGGACATTTTGCAAGCTCAA